TGACAGTGCCTGCAGAGCCTGACTTTTCGCAGTTCTTCCAATCTGGCGTTCATTGTGCAGTGATCGAGCGCATGCGCCGTTCTGGGTTGATGTGCGATGCAGACATTGCTGGCCTGCGACCGGATGAGCTGGTGACAGCCATGTCTGGCTTTATTGACGATGAGGAAGCTGGATGGTACATCGAGCTTGCCCGTGGCGCTTTGGCATTCCTTGCCAGGCGTGCCAGTGGAGCCCCGCAGTGCGCTCGCCCTGTTGAAGGCCTCCCTGTGCCTGCTGTCAAACGGTGCAGGCTTGTGGGTAGCATTGCGCCGGGCGCCTTTCAGTGGTCGCAGAATGCTCTGACTGCCCTGAGGCCAGTTCACCAGCACTCTGAGATGGTCCATGCTTGCTGGGAGATCTATGCCGCCCTTGGCACGCATGGCGAGTTGTGGTCACCGTTGCTTGAGGAGCACCAGGCCATTGCTCGCGAAGGCCTGGCGAGTCGGCTGCAGATCTTTGAGCGGCGCACTCTGCAGGCGCAACTCAGCGCCCTGAGGCGGTGGGCCAATTATGTGTTGCAGTTTGGCAAAGGGCCTGCAGAAGTTCTGTTGCCTCCGGTTGCCCTGCTTTTTTCCTTCCTTAAGCAAGCGTCTGACGGAGGGCCAACTGCAGCGCAAGGACTTTTCCAGAAGCTGTTATGGTGGCGTCGGCATGTCGGCATACCATTCCCGCTGGGCGACCCCATGGTTGCAACGTGGAACCGAGTGGCCGAGGGACACTCTATCCAGCCTCGTGTGCCTTTGAGCTTTCGTGCTTTTCAGGCGCTCTGCAAGCTGGCCCTTGGTGGTTCCACGAACGTTGCTACGTTCGCATCTTTAGCCCTTATCCCATTAGTGGCTTGCCTGAGGTTCGCCCACGCGCAGCGATCAGCTGATTGGACGCTGTCCCACGACTTTGCTCGCGCGGTTTGCTTGAAGGGCAAGTCGCGCAAACATGGCACGCGGCCGTCGTTCGAATGGGCTGCTCCGATGCATGTTGGCAAGTGGAAGCATGTTTTGGGCTTAGCGTCAAGGGTCATCATTGACTTGCGCAGCCAGGTGCCTGACTTGTCCTTTTGTATCCCAGATGTTGCCTGTGGGCCCTCCGGTTGCCTGGACGAGCGTGCGCATTGGCGAGCAGCCCCGATGCCAATGGCGCGCTTTGTGAAGCTGTTGCACTCAGTGTTACGTAGCGAAGGTTTGCCTGATGCAGAAGTAGGCCTTATCAGCACTTACTCTTTGCGACGTTTTTTGCCAAGTGTAGCAGAGGTCTTGCGAACGCCAGTGGAAGTTGCCCAACACTTGGGAAACTGGACGGAGTCAGTTACGACCAAGCATGCCCAGCCAATGCCAGTGCAGATGAGCCAGCACTATGCTCATGACAGAGTGCTCTCCGCTGGGCACACTAAAGCTTTGTTGTGCGCAGCAGTTCAGGAGTTGCTCGAGACAGAATCCGGGCCGCTCGATTGGCAGTCTTTCCGCACAAAAGGGCTCAGCTGGCAGCAGATTTTAAATCGACATTCTGCTTTGACTCCTCCAGCAGACAAACCAGTAAATTGCCAGGGAAGTGACAGCGAAGCAAGCAGTGACGAGACTTCGTCCTCTTCCGACGGTGGCTCAAGTCACGAAGGGTTGCCGCATGACTTAGAGTGGTTTCGTTTTGCCCGTGGGGTTTCTCATATCGCACGTGAGCGCTCCCAATCCCAACCTGTTCCTTGGTGCCGTGGCACTCCGTTTGCGGGAATTCCCTTGGAGTGGGGCATCGGAATAGAGCCAGGCTTGCAGATTTGTGCCAAATGCCAAGCCTGCGTTCCACCGCACATTAAACGAGCAATCGACTCCTGCAAATAGACAGTGAAAGAATTCTGCGGCTGTGCGTAATAGGTCAGTGTGTTTGCCACTAAATTTCCTGACAACACAAGACACGCGGGTTTCAGGGCTTCGGGGGCCTTACACTCATGTTTTGTGGCCCTTCGGCCCTCGGCCTACATTTATGTCTTGTTGGCCCCCCTGTTTCTTTGCAAGCTTCAGCTTTGGCAAAGGCTTCTTGTTGCGGGGTTGTGCCTACTCTTATTTGATTTGTTTTCCTTTCACACGGCAGGCTTTTCCCCAAGTGACGTGAGGCATGTCCAGTTTCAGGGCTTCTGGGGTTTCGCTGGCCCCCCTTCTCTTGCAAACTTTCGGCTTTTGCTGGGGTTTCTGCTGTTGCAGGGTTGCGCCCCCTTTGTTTTGACGGGCAGCTTTTCCCGAGTCACCATGACATGTCCAGTTCTAGGGCTTTGAGGGCTTCGCGCAGCCTTTTCGGTGCGCGGCCCTTCGGCCATTGACCTACGCTTGTTTTTGTTGTCGTAGGGATGCATCCACTCTTTGCTTGGCCAGGCTAGTCTTTTACTGATCTGGGACGAAGGTTTACGGAGATTTGTGTGTTTGCCAACTTTCAAATTCCCTCAGTCACGCGAGACATGTCGGGTTTCAGGGCTTCAGGGGCTTCGCGCAGCCCTTGTGGTTGCGTGGCTCTTCGGCCCTCGGCCTTAATTTATGTAGTGTTGGCTCCACCCTTTTTGTGGCAAGCTTTCAGCTTTTGTGCCCTGGTTTTTAACTTGCTAGTCTGTTGTTGGGAATGGCCTTGTAATGTCCCCCATCTTCTGGTTGGGCGCGATCTCATTTGGTACATTGACAATCAAGCAGCTTGCCAAATTCTCACCAAGGGTGCCAGTAGTGCAGGGGATTTGTGCTTCATCGCATCACTAGCGCATCTCCTGTACGCAAAGCTGAGTTGCAGGGTGTACTTCGAATACATCGAGTCGAATGCAAACCCTGCAGATGGTCTCTCCCGTGATGGCCTTGATGATGCGTGGACCTTTTCCCAAGGTTGGTCCTTGCTGCCGGCAATTGTGCCTGATTTAGTTCGCATTGCAGCGTCTTCGCTTGCAGCAGCTTTGACGGCATTGTAGCATTGGGGGGAACTTTGGGGTGGCTTGATTACACACACACACACTTCAGAGCGCCCTGTGGCTTTCACCTGCACTTTGTGCTGTGCGCCCTCTTGGCCTCTGTGTGTGTGTGCAAGCTTTGACTAACCCAATGACACTCCCTTCTTCAGCTTGCAGACATCGGCATTATCTCACACTGCATGCGAAAAAAAGAGTGCGCCTTCTGCAGCAAGTTGCCGAGCTTTCATTCAAACTTTCTTGGCCTGGATGGGTTTGGCAGAAAGAGGATTGAGAGCACGCGCCTTGATTGATTGATTGATGGTTCAAGTCAGGCTAGCTGCAGGGCGCACATTTTCTTGCCCGCCCACCACGCCCTGGCATTGCCAAGAGTCTTGGCCTGCCTGTGATTTCTTCTGCCAAGCTTGAAGGGGGGTGGCTTGATTACACACACACACACTTCAGAGCGCCCTGTGGCTTTCACCTGCACTTTGTGCTGTGCGCCCTCTTGGCCTCTGTGTGTGTGTGCAAGCTTTGACTAACCCAATGACACTCCCTTCTTCAGCTTGCAGACATCGGCATTATCTCACACTGCATGCGAAAAAAAGAGTGCGCCTTCTGCAGCAAGTTGCCGAGCTTTCAATCGGTTTTTGAGATCCCCTAGTGAGCAGGTCCGTGCCGTTCCAGTCAGACTGTGCCTTCATAGCTTGAGGGGTTGCCTGGGCACGCGTGTCCGGACCCGCCCTGAATTCGGCGCAGAGCCGGCTTCCGCCTGCGGAGGGACTGCTTTCTGTTGATATCAGAGAGCTCTTGTGGCACCTAGATCAAACCACTTCATCACTAGAGCTTGCACGTGAGTGTGTAACATAGGCAAGGTGTTGGCCCATTGTTTTAGAGCCAGGAAAAGAACAGAACTTGTCTCGGATTTAATGTTTTGTTTTGATTTGCCAGTGATATAATTCTTTGGCTGCTCAATAATGGCTTGCAGACTGTATGTGTTGACCATCTTTTCTTGTGACTCTGTTTTGTGCTAGAGACCCCAATCGCGTCCATTATTGTGCACCTCTTGAGGCTCAAAGCAAATAGAGGATGGGATGGAAGATGGGCTCCCAAGTTTCCACTCTTGGCTGTCTATTGCGCTGCGATGCGCCATTTGATCCCCCGTTTGATCCCCGGCGAAGAATCGTGCGGCGACCCGAAAAGTGCGGATGGGGCGGAAAAGCGCAGGATCGTTCCGTTGGTCTATTAGCTTGGTGGTGGCGCTGGTTTGCTTCCCGGGTGTGCTGGTGCTCGTGCTGCCGCATTTGCGAGGAAACACTACTTTGTCGTGTCGGTTTTTGTTGCCGTTCCGGCATGCACGGAGCATTTGATTGTTTGGCCGCCAGGCCTTTGGGCTTCTGCTTTGCTGCAGGTTTATGAATGATCTGTTGCAGTGCCTCGTCCTAGCTAGCTAGGACGTCTTGCTGGAAAATTACGCTTTGCTTTGATACCAGTCGTTGCCTTTTTGCTTAACTCACAAACCTTTCTGAAGCTCGTCAATATATCACAGGACAGATTGTGCTATCCGTACCCTCAGCACTGAATATACGCTGCTGTTGGTCACGCACATATGCACAGTCTGTGCTCGTCCTTGAGCGAGCGAGAGCCAGTCATGCTTTGTTGATCTGAATGATGTTTTTGTAGACGACCCTAAACTGGAATCATGATCCGTACACATCCTTTCTATGATCAAGCAATCTGAAGTGTGTCCCATCGTTTTGATATACGGACTGTGCTTGAAACTTGAGACATGGGCGAGAAAGCGTGGACACATTGATGCCCAGCACTAGATTCAACACCTCACGCATTTTCAAACAACCATCAGTTGAATTTGCTAGGCAATGAAGATAATTCTGAAGATACTGATGCAACTCGATACTGTACAACAATTTGCCTTTTTCTTCTTTATCCAATCGATCCTTGCAGTCAGTGCCACGGAATCCAGACACAATTTTGAGCTTGGACTTCGGAGCCTCCGTGGCCCTCGGTGCCCTGGGCCATTGCCCTGTGACAGGCCGCGGTGCCCGTGGCGAGAGAGCCTTCCGCGGGAACTCCAAGGGCCGCTTCCGGAAGAGGCGTGGTTGGGAAAGCCAAGGCCCATGGGTCTACCTGAATGGTGAGGGGCCCCTTGCTTAAAACGACCAAAGCGGAGATGGGCGTGGCCTCATGGCCCGTCCAAGGCCGCGGGCATCCCGACACCCGATCCGGTGGTTTCCAGCCATTAGCCGGCCACCGTCAGGCAGACACTTTAGACGGCTGAATTTGGAGACCGGCGAGTAGTTCGAACCGGGCTGTCATCATGCAATACTTCAAGCCTTATGTTTGTTGTTTGACTTGCTGGGCATCAGGTGTTGTAGCATCTCCTGGTTAACGTTCTTTTTTTTGCGTGCACCATGACCCGAACTTGACCCTGCTGGCTGTGAATTCTAGACCTTTTTTATGCCCCTCGTCGTGCCAAGCGCTAGGATGAACCGGTATTTGCCACCCGCAGGCGCGCTCCTTCCCATCCCAAGGCAGGGTCATGAGGGACTTCTCTTCAGGCTTTGGAAGAAGCTAACCTGCCTTTCACCGAAAGAAGGTTCGGAAAGGGCGTGCTACAGATTGCTTGGGGTCGCGCAGAGCTCACGGAGGACGAACCTCTATGAGCACTTGGCTGATTCACCAGCTGCAAGGGCGTTTTTCATTTTTTCACTTGCACGAGTTGTTGCCAGGAGCAAGAGCGGCAGCGAGAGTCCGTCAGGATTGCTCAGTCCAGCTGGTTGCACCTTAACGCTTTTCTTGATCGAGCACGCCGAGAACTGTTTGCTTGCAATTGGAGAGCGCGATCCTTTGTGAGGTCAAGGTAGGGCGGAACAGCTGAAAATGGAGAGGAGTTGAGTAAGATGAGATTGTCTGACGGGTCTCAAGACTTGACTTGTTGACACATGAAACGAATTGATGGTTCGAAAGGACCTGGCTTGGACTTGTTGGATGCTCATGCATGTGCCATATTTGTTTGGTTGACAGCCATGTTTTCCTGTTTGGCACATTTTGCCCACACCTTGCTCCACTCGCTGCATTCTCACTCCTCAAAAAACTTTCCTAGAAGCGGACACAAGGGGTTGTTGCAGCCGAGCTGCTGGCTCGGCTTTGTTGGAGCTTGGGGCTTATAAGTTGCTGCAAGGTCTCACACCCAGCTCGCCGCTCGCTTGCTTGCAGTTTCTTGTTGGTTCTCCTTCCCGAAGTGCTCTCTCACGCTGCCCAGGTGATCGTGCCGGAAGGATGGGGACTGCGGGCCGCGGCCAGAGTTGCACGGCGATCGAGAGTTCTTCTGACCAAGACTCTTGGTTCGGATTCTCATTGACTGAGCTTGACTGACGGCGAATTGGTTCGCCTTTTCCATGGTTCAGTCTTTCAGCGGAGGCCATGTACACTAGTGGTTTCAGTCGCACTTTCCAGCTGCTTTGTATGCGCACAGACATAACATGTACTGTTGATACCAACATATTCACTGAGACCAGTTTCTTGATCAGTTTGGTCTTAAGCTTCACGTTTGCTTCTTTGTGCCAGCGCTATGATAGTTTCTCAGTCACCAGCAAGCTGTGTCAAAAGGTGCTTCGTGGTTTGACTGTCTGGATCGCTGAACAACGAAGAGTACCGAAGGGAATGTGCATGCAACGTGTCCAAGACCAGCTGAATGCACAGCACTTTGTTTTGGATCTAGCAGAAGCTAGCTATGGACCAGGCTATGGTTCTGTAATTTATGCGTCCTGGTTGGAAGAAGTTGCGAGCAACGATGAAGGGGATCGCTTTTCAATTTCTCTGCCAGACGTTCTCCTCTGTTGACAATTCATCAGGATAGGCAGAACACATGAAGCCAAAGGCAGTTTATATACCAGGGATTTGCAGACCTCCAGTGACGACTGTGCCAAGGGGATCACTTTCACGCGGTCATTTCAGCTCACCAAGGCAGAGGGCTTGAAGAAGCCATGGACCGCACCATGGTGCGCCTTCAGCCGTCTCCATGGCTGCGGATGGGAGAATCGCAGCCTGTGGGCTCGGGAGTGGTTCGCTTTCGATCAATCAGCCTGATCTTTGTGGCATGTTGGTGTAATGAGTCGGGCTCTGTGAATGCCAGGTACAAGAAGAGACTGGCACGTGGTGAGATTCCCTTGCAGGGCTTTGAGAAGGAGCTCCAAAGCCACTTGGCGCGTTGAGTTGTTTTTTCTTATTTTTTTTTCCGCAGTTCTGCAACCCATTCTTAAATATGTATCGGCGACGGGACCCTTTTCGGGAGTTTGAGGACCATAATCGGACTGAGCAAGGGCAAGTTGCCCAAGTCTCGGTTTTTGAGAGCAAGCTATTGTGTCTTGCTATGTCTCGCTTCGGTTGGTGTGGTTTGCAGGTCAGAAAGGATGGGCACATCAAGCTATCAGTCAGCAGTTGCTTTTAGATGATGCACCCCGCCATGTGTGATCACAACTGCGATGAGAAGCGGGGCTCCATCCAAACGTTGCTTCAACATAGCAGCTCACTTTGAACCATTGTGCTGCAACCAAATTATTGCAGCCGCTGAGTAGCAGCCCTTCGATGTCCACCGTTGTCGTGGGAAACCTCAGATCAGAATGCAGCACACTCCGCGCTTAATTCAACTCACCTCTGTTTGGCGAAGCCGGTTGGCACAGCCTTGGGGTCTATTGACCTCTCCCAACTTTGCCAAGCCCCTTCTAGCTTGATCCACAAAACAGCCGACAGCAAGCAACGTGCCCGTTATTCAAGCCAAGGCCTGGACCGAGCGCCTGTGCGGGACTTTGCGGAGATGTGGTCTGTGGCATGTCGTTTCGCGCGTGGTGGCCGGTAGGTCCCGGTCGGTGCTCCGTGTCTTGTTGGTTTGCGGGCAGCGTTCGTGTAATGAGCTTGGCAGGTCCTCCATTACAAACCGAGCTGGAGGATGAACAATATTCAGAAAGTTGCAGCATCAACTCAGCAATGGCCGCGGGTTGCACCTCGAAGGAAAGGGGTTGAGCAGGCAGTAGAAGTCAGTGCACTCAGTAGTCACTGGAAGCCTGGGCTAAGCGTGAAGCCTGTCAATCACCAGAACTTGTCATCGCGACTCTGTGGCGGCATGTGTTGTCCTTGCAACGCAACTCCCCTAGAGCCGGGATGCGAGGGATGACATTCTCGGACAACTTGGATACCTCAAGTCAGCATGGTATGCTGAAGCCTCTGTGCCACGAATGCCATATGGGTTGCTTGGGCTGTGCACAAGGCATAGGTAATGCGAACGTACAAGAAAGGTCTTGTCGCAGGCGGCCTTTGGACGGGAGGGGAGGACTAGTGCCAGGATATTATGTTGCAGGCTGTGCAGTGTTGTACAAATGCAAGGTGTCTATTCGAAGTGCCAAGCTCCTTGCATAGCATTGGCCACATTTGCATTTCCATGAATGATGCATCGAATACAGCGCTCGATGACTTGAGCTATGGACTGTTCTTTGACTGTCGTCGGGCATACTTTTCTCACTGCTTTACGAGAGGCATAACGCAAAGAACCACACCTTGCCAGGATCTCGCATTTGCGTATGCGGCTATTTGGACCAGCATGCTCCTTGCAGCTCCCCTGACTACTCAAACTGATCATCAGCAATTGTGGATTCATTGTTGAATCATATGCAACCCTCAACATCATTGGTCAGTATCAAGATATGATCCTTTGTACGAATCAATGTTCCTCAATGTGCTGAACATGGACTGATCACTGCCCAATGCCCTAGTTCCAACGATGCCAGGTTGGAGCAGGGGAGGTTGGATCAGGGCAAGTTCGAGGCGGGAACTTCGGCCCTTGCTGATCATTTGCTTTCGCCGTTCCAAAACGTCTACATTCTGGGCATTCGCTTTGAGGCATTAACGGATCCTTGGTACTTCCAGCGATTCAGCATGAGTGGCATGTTCACTTGCTCAAATAGTGGGGGCATTTTGCCTTGCCGCTTGGGTGTAAGCATGTGCAGGGATCGATTTTGGTTAGATGCGGACACAAGGTTAGATTCGGTTAGATGCGCATGGCTGGAGAGGTTGGTGCAGCAAGAGCTGAGGGCACGGTGAAGGTCTGCATAGCACGTCCCCTTGAGACTCCGTGAAGCTGCCCTTCCCATGTCAAAAGCCGACAAAAAGGTGAAGGCTATTTGCGGGGATCCAGTGATTCCAAAGTCCAACCGAAAATCCTTTGGGCGAACGCGGGGAACAAGAGGTGATGGAGCAGTCCAACATTTCAGCTGCTCGCAGTGCCGGGCTGAGGGCTGCACACGGTGCCTCCGGCTCCCCGCCGAATCCTCGTGTTTTTGTTTTCTCCCGTGGTTTTCGGGAACGTGTTTTTCTTCTCCTTTTTTCATTTCTTTCTTATTCTGCATCTTTCTGGGATTGGCTTCGAGGCCCCAAACCCCAAAGCGGCCGTGGATCAGGGAGGAGTCGAACCCTCCTTTAGCCCGAAGCTTTGTTGTCCAGCTTCGGGGAATACCACGAAGAGTGCACTTTTGCCGTGCGGTACTTGACAATTTCACCACTTCACGCGACATCAGGGCTTTTACGACACTTGCAACACTGGGCCTTCAAGCTTGCTTCAATGCCGAAATTGCTCATCTGACAGCAGACTAAACAACCTGGATCGTCTAAACTGGGCACGCTTTGGGACAAGAGTTAGCATTGTCGCGGGATCTCCAGATTCAAGGCCCGGGCGGTCACTGGGCATATCATCAAGTTCGCCAACATTGTTTGGCGTGTCGAACACATCAATGACACGGCAATCCCCGCGATGGCGCAGGATGTCGTTTTGGGACTAGCGAAATCTGATGAAAAAGGCCCCCTGTTCAGCTAACTCTCGGAGTAGGGCATTGCGCTCAGGCCGATTTCAGGTGAGCCACCCATCGGAGCTGGCAAAGAAGCTGTGGGGTGCCGAGGATCCATGTAACTCCTCTTGGAGCACCTGAAGCATCATTGCATGTGGAAGATCCCTGATGCTAAGTTTGATCATTCGACTGGGGCCATCAGAGAGTGGTATGTTTGGGAGCAAGTGATCACCGTCTGAAATTTGTCGCCAGCAACTGCACGGAGCACCAGACTTCGCATCGCCGAGTCTCCAAATGCGAAGCAAGCCGCAGAGTGTAGCGAGCTGATGTGCGGTGGCAGTCCTCGCGGGCTTTGCTAAGGCGTGAGCTCTGGCGCGAGACGCCGGATGAGGAGAAACCCATGCTCTTTCCTCACTTCCGGAAGGCGCCGCGTTTGCGGTTGCCAGAGTCTTGGGCGGTTTGGTTGTTCTCAGTTGAGTCGCAGCGTTGAATATGCCAGGCCTTTGATTGGGATGCCCGTGAATCGCCGGAGGCGCCGGCCAGACGTTACCGCCTCGGCACGTAACGGACCCACTACTGGCGATAGTTTGGCAAATGTGGGGGATTCGGATTCGGTTTGACCTCAGCTCATGTCTGATTTTTCCTTGACATAAGAGCAATTCAGCACAGACCTGCCTATCCAGGAGTGGTTTTCAAGAAGTTGCCCTCGTATACTCAGCAGCTCTATTGTACCATTTCCTTGGGACTGATATTTTTTGGATGTGTGCTCTCAGCTCACGCATGAGTATAGCGCTCACTTAAGCCAACCCGACCAGAAATGCAATTTCACCCCCCCTCCTCCTTTTTGGTCCACTTTTCCACAGCGTCAACAAGTTGACCCCTCTGATTTCCCGAAACGGACGTCCGCGGCGCCTCCGCTCCAGGCAGGGCGCAAGGCACCGGAGCACTTCTTCTCTCAGAAGCGCTGGGAGGAGGCGCGAGGAAGGCTCTGGATTCAGTTGGCTGTGGGTCAAAACCAATTGGATCCCATTTTGGGATAGGTGAATTCACCACCCATTTTAGGCTTCCTATTTTAGTGGTTGGATTGGGATGTTCACTGGGGGTATGGGGTTTTCACGACACAGACATTCAGGTCAATGCCAGTGCTTGGGATTGAATTGGATGATCAACTTTGGGATGGTTTTACTAGGCTACGCTGAGCATGTGCGTGTTGCAAAGCCACACGTCCTCCAGCTGGCGAGCATGGTGAATGGGTTCTTTGCCGAGGTTTGAGACCAGGACAACCCTCGTGGTACATCAAAACCATGGGATGGTTTGGCCTGCACACTCTGGCTGCAAGCGAACTACAGGAAGAGTTCAGCCTGACTTTGCATTGCATTTCCAATAACTAGGGGTTCTGTTAGCGGGCCAATTCGGATACTAGCATGCAGCTTGGTTTCCTCATCCGCTTTCCTTCAATGCCCTATGGCCCAACAATGTGCATTTGAAGTGAGACTGAGTATATCGCTGGTCATAGAACACAGTCTCGGCATGAATGTGTTTTGTTTGAAATAACGGTCAGGCGCCCGGTTGAGTTTCCTGAGCGCTGAACAAGCCAGGTTGATAGCATCACTGCAGAGACGACAAGTCTTGTCTGGGACCTGGATGGGAGGGCAGGGAAGCTTGCTGGTAATTCCTGTGTGCACCGTAGTGGCGCAGGTTGAACATTCTTGCCGAATGGGCAAGTTTCATTACATGCATCAATAGCTAGCACTGGAAGTGCAATGACAGCTTCCACTCCTCGACAACCTGCATTTATTCCCAAGAGATCTTTGCATACTCGCGTGTGGGTGGCGTGGCCTATTGACACCTTCCTGGCTGGATGCATCCTGGCGCATCACATGGTGAGTAGCCTATGCACCCTGGGACAGGAACAGGGCGGAACGCTCTGTTTGACGGTGTTTGCTTTTTGTTCGGGCTGTTCTCCCGTGTTTTTCTCGGGACTTTTATGCCCTGCCCTGTTACTGTTGGTGGGGTGCATTCCGTACGAGGTCAAGGGCATGCAGCTCCCAAAGCCCTCCAGGATCCAGTTCCTGCTCCTTGGCCTTCGGGGGATTGCGGGAGTCGCGCTGCTTTGTTGTGATCGTGGGCAGAAGGCTTCGGCAGGGCATTCGGAGGAGGCACGCGCTCCCGGCTTTGTGGTTTGCCGGCTCGTCTTGCAAGAGACCACGAAAAGTCACAGTGCGGCATTGGAGTTCCTTGCGGTCAAGCTGTTCCAACATTGTGTGCTTTCGCTTGGGGTGCTTCCCACCATGCTCCATCGCTGCCGCCTGGATTCTCCTCCCGAAGAGTTTAGCATGTCAATGTCTTGCATGCTGCTGCTTTGACCGTGGCTTCCCAAGCCCCTCCAATTCCTGTGCTCACATGCCATTTGATGTGAACCGGATCTTCCCGCAACCATGAACATTCCAGGTCGGCCCATTGCTCAACTTGCAAGCCTTTGGCTGGTTCTCGAGCTAAGGAGCTTCCCGGACATCATAAAAGGCCTGGTGCGTTTTTTCTTCTTCCAATTTTTTTGGCAGGGGGGGGGGGGACGCTGGCCTTTTGGTTTGCCAGGTCAATGGGTTTCTGTCCTGTAGGCCTCGCTTGCTCGTGCAGGCGATGGTGTCAAAGCAAGCGAAGGGCGTGTTTGCACAGCAAGGCAACACTGCTATGTTTTGTTTTTCGTCTCCTCCTGTGTGCCTATGTTCATCCCCAAGAGTTGTCATCGCATGAGTTTGGCTCTTGCGCAACTTTTTGCTGCTGCTCGAATCTTTACTGCATTCCTGACACTAGCAGGCTTCAACACACACAGGCTTGCACGCAGCACACGCAAATGCCAGTGAACCAGGCTGCAAAGCGAAGGCTGGGCTGATTTCACCTTGGGCCTGCCATCTTCGTCATAGGCCACTTCTAGCCTCACCTTTCATCGTCTCCACATGTTTGGCTCGGAGGTCGGCACTCGGTCATTGCTGACCAATCGGGCCTTGGCCTGAGCTGTCTGCCTGTTTGAGTGGTTACAAGTTGGGAGACCCTCAGGTTGAGATCATTCTACGTAGGTGGCACACTAGCCTTCAAGGCAGGCTGTTGCAAATTGTTCGGTGCACAGATCTGTTGGACATGTCGATTCCTGCCGGCCCAATGCGTGTAGAGCACGGCTGAGCATCCAGGCATCTGCATATCATGCTGCGCGCACAAGGGGATTTTTATGGCATGACTTGTGGCTTTGACGACTACTTACCTCTCAATTAAAACCAGTACATCATCAAGTCACATGGTGACTTGTGCCAAGCAGGAAAGCCATGCAATAACAACAAATCCAAGAGTCGAGCCAGGGTAAAGTTGGGTACATGTTGCATACTGGAATGTTTGGGGCTGGCATGTCTTGCTTCGTTGCTATTTGACACACTTGGGTTCGCCCAGTTGCATTGGAGGCTCAAAATGTGGGAAGTTCCACACTGGATGGGTTCAGTTTGGTCCGGAAAACACAAGGTTGCCAGAAAGACACACCCAAGTCCAGCTGTTCAATCCAGAGGTTTAACCCCAACCTTGAACTGGCGCCCCCGACCCCACGCACATACCAGAGTTCCCCTTCTGCTAGGAGTTGCTCAATCTAGATGAGGCATGCTTGTTTGCAATGTCGCGATTTCTTTCTCTCACCACATCAGTTTCAAGGAGATAGCTCCGATGTGATGAAGAATTGTTGAGCGCTCACAAGCCCATCGGTGGGTTCTGACAGAGGTGAGACAAGCCCAGAACACTCCCCCGAAAGCTTGGCTGATGTCTTGTTGATTTTGGTGTAGCGTTTTACAGGCAACTTGTCCAGACTGGTTCCCAGCCAAGGCTCGGGCAAGACACTGGCCTACCTTCTACCACTGCTGCAGCGCTACGTTCTTTCTGCGGATCCTGAGGATCACCGGCTCAAGCTGATTGCCATTGGCTCAGCCCTCTCTCAGAGGTTCTGCTGGCCAGGTGCCGTGCCAAACGTCATTGAGCTCCAAATGATCAGAAGGATCATAAGGCCCAGGTGTACTATGCATGTACTATGTATATATCTATATATATATATATATATATATTAACATGCGTTCGTACATACATACCTACATACCTACTTACCTACATACTTGCCTACGTACATACGTACATACATACCTACATGCATACTTGTCTACGTACATACATACGCACATACATACATACCTACCTACCTACATACTTACCTACATACTTGCCTACGTACATACATACATTCGTTCATACATACATACATACAGACAGACAGACAGACACACACACACATACATTAAATTACATTACATTAATTACATTACATTACATTACATTACCTTACATTACATTACATTACATTACATTACATTACATTACATTACATTGCATTGCATTGCATTGCACTACACTACACTACACTACACTACACTACACTACATACATGCATGCATACATACATACATACATACATAAAAAAACAACAACACATACATACTTACCTACCACCTACATACCTACCTACATACCTACCTACATACTGTCCTACGTACGTAAATACATACATACATAAATGCATACATACATACTTACCTACTTACCTACATACTTACCTACGTACACATACATACATACTTACATCATACATACTGTTACATACATACATACATACATACATACATACATACATACATACATACATACATACATACATACATACATACATACATACCTACATACCTACATACCTACATACCTACATACCTACATACCTACATACCTACATACCTACATACCTACATACCTACATACCTACATACCTACATACCTACATACCTACATACCTACATACCTACATACCTACATACCTACATACTTACCTACTTACCTACTTACCTACGTACATGCGCACGTACTTACATACATGCATGCATGCTTACATACAAACATACATACTTAGCTACATACGTACGTACTGACATACATGCATGCATACTTGCATACATACATACCTACATGCACCGAGGCATTTTTTGTTTTAAACCTTTGTCAGCAAAAAGGAATGAGGATTCCAACAGCGGGACAACCAAGATCACATCTGATGTTTTGTGCAAGTTGCTCTCATTCAGGACAAAACTTGGATTGACCTGTCACTACTCAGCGGTCGCATCTACGTGCAGCCGGGTTAACGTCATCAACCACTTGTGTGTGGTCCTTGTCTGAATACGGGGCTGTTCTTTTTTGCACTGGGAGCTACCGATCCGCTGTCACCTGTCCATGATGCATTCAAGAGGGCATGTAGGTCAGTTAGCTTGTCGAGGTGATAGCACCCACCTCGGACCTGGTTCATCAGATTGCGGACGTCGCTCGCGCCGGGCAGCTGAGAGTTCGCTTGGCTTTGGCTGTGTGTGCAGTGAGTGGCACATTTTTCCAGAAACCAATGTCCCCAGCCCTGCCTTTTGGGGAGAGTCGAAAGGGATGAGCTTTGACCCAAGCAGTCACACCTCGCAAAAAACAAACCTGCCCAGTTGCTTTTGTTTGGGGGATTGTGTTTTTCGTTTCCTGTTTTTCCTCGAAACTTTTGGTATTTCACCATTCTCCATGTAGATATCGCCCCTGGAAAAGTTTCTCGTGGCATCGGATGCTGCTCAGAAGTTGCCGATACGTTCCTTATATATTCGCACTGCCTTTTGTGCGGTTGCCCGACTTTTTTTGAATTGTTTTTCTTGCGTGATCAATTTACAGAGACGAAGTGGCTTCACTTGCAGTTGACCGAGGCAGGGCGCTGATAGGCAGACATTCAACCCAAAATCAGCGGACACCTTGCAGATTATATGGTTGTCAATGAATTAGATTGGGGTGTATTTCACCAGAATGTTGGATGCCTAATTTTGACAAAAGCAATTTAAATCGCATCAAGCCAGAAAACTTAGAACTAGGCTTGACATATGCCAGCCATGTAGCAAATGGACATCGAGCTGGACAATGAAGCTTAGCTCAACACGTTTATACATTATATTAATTATATTAATATATGCTAGACATTATGATAGGATGGAAAGTCTATGAACATCTGCATCCCGCGGACTAGAAGCCAGATGGGAACGTACACCTAAGGACAGATTTTAGACATGTTCTAGGAATGCCCTAGCATGCTGAACCTAGACATGTACCAAATCTAGTACAGGCAAGACAAAGTCTGCGACAAAGCAGGTACACAGCGACTCCTTTCAAGCAGCCCCTAAGATTGGGAAGCCGCGTTCACGTGAAAACCGGCGGGCCGGGGAAATTGGCCTTCCTCGGAAAATGGTCGGCCTTTGCGGACGCTGGGAATTGCTTGGGCAAGGAAGCACTGGGTTTGCGGATGGGTTTGTTGGACACAGATGAATCTAGAGTTGCGTGCTTCCGGGTACGCCAATATCAGAAACGACACTTTGAATGAGAGGAGTGTTGCACCCTATGCAAAGCATCAAAGTTCTTGATTCTGTGAAAGTCTTGATTTGGTCATTGGCACTTCCAACAAGGGTTCTTTGCCCACGCGCGCATTGCAAAAGTGTGTACGTCAGTTTGCTCCGTGTACACGCCTGCATGAGTTTAGCACAGGTTGGGGGTGGCCTGTAGGTTTTTGGATTTTGGTAAAGGCCAGAGAGCCAAGGGAAGAGTCCGAGGTCGCCTCAGCGCATGGTCGCGCCTTCCGCGTGCCGCCGCCTCAGGCATTGCTTCGAGTCTTTCACAATTGCTAAACGCCACTCTTGTTTTGAGGGAAGGAATGTGGGCTCGATGCTTTGCGATCATAATATTCATGCTCCAGCTTTAATGAGTCTCCGTGAGGGGTGCGGCAAATCGCAGGTGTAAACTCTGGAAGCTCCCATCAAGGTCACCCGGAAACGTAGCCAAACCTACCCGTCCAAACGCATCCCTGTCCCAGTGCTGCTGAGGACCACCATCGTTGGGGGCGGAGGGTACAATGCGCGGCACCAGCGGCGCCGTATCCAGGAGGGCTGCGAGCTAATTGTGGCCTGGGCGCCCAATGTCCTGGAGATTGCAGTGGAAGGAACTGAAGAAGAAGGTGTAAGGGATGGACAGAGACGACTGCCAGCCTGTTCGTTTGCTCCAGCGGGCTGGGAGCATTCCTGGCATTGACGGTGTAAATGATAGGGTAGAGGCTTTTTGATGTTTTTTGTGCTTGACCGAAAGAAATGCCTTTGCTGCTTGGATTGGGAACAAATGCAGCTTGGACATTAAGCAGTTTTCAGTTCGGAAGAGTCGCCATGTTCTAAATGCTGACCGACTTGAAACTGAAAAGACAACATGAGCCTGGTGGCATGAAGCTCAGCGACCGGCATACCTTGAAATTTGGATGCAACTATGTCAGACCCCTGATTGATGAAGAGTGACGAATGCCAGTCTTTGGATGCTCTATGCTAGGTGAATGCATGAGCTGGACATGGAGTCTAGTGCTTTTGTCTCCTACGTGACTCACCCGAAGAATTCAGTCCTTTTACTTGCCTCCAGCCCGGACCTCATAGGCAACCCCGGGACGCCTGAAGTTCTTCATGGAGGAGGCAGACAAGCAATGGGACACAGCGACCCTGGTTCCTTGAATAGAATCCGTGTGCTGTGCCAGTGTCTTCTTTGGCATCCTTTCAACCTGCATCTTGATTCGGCGAATTGCCACATAATTTTTCCTTGCAAGCTGGGAGAATCATGGGCTGTAAGCTTGCGGTACTAGAACGCGCACACACACACATATATATGTATATGTATATGTAAATGTAAATGTATATGTATATGTATATGTATATGCATATGCATATGTATAGGTATATGTATATGTATATGTATGTACGCGCTTGTGTATATATATATAATATTATCATATATATATATATATATGCACATATCTATACACCTACACGTGATAGTCACAGCTTGGCTTGCTTTTCTCGTATTATGTAGTTGAACCATGACCTTATTCCACCGTAGGCCAAATCTTACTTTCCTGGGTCAAGCCTCATGTTTCCAACCCTGCTGGCCTCGGCTGCACCATAGCTTCGGCAGTTTCGCGGAGGTGGCTGTGGTACTGCGGTCACGTGGTCCGCTCGATGTTTTTGCCAGCGCGTAGAATGATTTGTCAACGCATTGGCTCTTTGCTCTGCCAGACGTGGAGCATTGCATCCTTGACACCGAGCAGCTTTCCGACACCAGCGTCAGAAGCAGCGCTTCAACGCAGAATTGCGAAGCTCGCGGTGACTGCGCTGCTGCCTGTGCAGACAAGCCACTGCGTTGGTCTGGCGAATTCCCAGCAGTAGAGCTGCGCCGCGCGCTTTGCTTTTCCAATTGCATTGCAAACACCCTTCTTGTTATTGCCAACCTGCATTCAGTACTTGCTTTCATATACCTTGTGGTGACGGATTCCCCTGCAATGAAGGGGCCGTGCAGTAGACAGCTTGGGAAAGCTCACACCGTGCAAGTTGCTTTGAAGTTGCTTAGTTTGCCAAGTCTTGATACATGACAAAGCTGCCAACATTGTGGGCAGCATGTTATGATACTGTTTCTGTTGGTGCTGGCATGAATTGAAACACCTGGCTTCTATGGCAACAGTTGTGAGAGGACTACGTGCTGGACAAGGAGATTTGGAACAGCTGTCAGGCTGTTGTTGTCGATGAGGCGTGGACGCTTTCCTTGCTAGGTGACAAGCTGAGCCTCCAAACTGCTTCGTACTGTGTTGACCGGGAACCGAAAGGAAAGCGCCACGACTTGCGATCACTTCCAGGCACCTCCACGTGGAGCATCCACAAAGACTATGAAACATATGTTACTGTCCTGTGGTTTGGAGTAACATTGGGAGCTGGTCCTTGCGCAAGCTAAGTCTTGAAGGATATGCCTGCGTTCACAATTGGTCTACTGCTAGCGGCCTGCAAATGTGCCCCCATCCTTGATGTTTAGCATACACCTGAGTACTGAACAGAGGCCTAACAGCTCAATGTGTTTGCCCTTAGGAAGAAATCCTAAGCAGTATTTGAAGTGATTTGCTTTTTCAAGTCAACACCAGGTTGCCCTTTTGCAGATTTTGTTTTTGATGTTTGAACTCGCATGAATTCACCAGCATCTGCGAAACTGCCATATGATACGCTAGCACTTGCCATAGAATTTCCGGCAGTTTACCCCAGGGTTCGTCATGCTCGTCGGCGAGGTAGATGCGCTTGTCGGCGAAGAGGGCAACTTGAATGTCCCACAGCTGAAGATCCAGCCGGGAGCTCGTGCGCATTCAGTCCATTTTCCTGCTGGTTCGCAGCCTGTGGTTTCTTGTAGGGAATCCCTAGGTTCATTCCCAACACTGTGGGTCATTCATTGCCTACTGAGCACCAGCAAGTTTTGGCAATTCGCGCTTACAATTTCTGGAGTGTCCCAGGCTGGCGCCGGGAGTGCAATGGGTCTTCGTCACTGCGACCGTCTCCGAGGTAAGGGGTAGGGTTGCTTCGAGACGTTGAAAGTGCGGACCATGAGATTGGCTGGCCCAAGATTTGACGACCCGTGGCATTGCGCCGTTTTCGCGTTTGTTGTCTGTTTGTGTGTGTGTGCGCGCAATACTCAGGACATGAACATGAAGGGCCTTTGGACGGAATCAGCACGTTCCACGTCGCAGTATCAAATTCTTTCCTGTGCTAATTTCTTCCCTGCTTTTGGGCCGCATGATGTATTGGTCCTTGATTTGATGCTGAAGCTTTCAAGAAACTGCTCTCGTCTCATGAGCTCAGCAGGCAAACAAGAGCGTTTGCCAATCGCTAATTTCCAATCGCTTGTGACGCAGCAACTGTTCCGGCCTTGTAGTGCAGCACCTTTTGGCGCATCGGCCCAGGCCGCAAAGACAGAGATCCAAAGCTTGGAGGAGACGGGCTTGGGACAGAACCGCGGCTTTCGCAGAGCACTTCTGGGAATTCGTCAGCTCTGTTTGGCTTGCGAGGTGGCCTTGCTGTTGCCTTGTGCAGGAAACGCATTTGTTGATCGAAACTGAATACACCTGAGAGGGAGCAGTTGCCCGAACTGTCGCGTCGCTTTGGCTCACCAGCGGTGCAACTGAAGTTGCAGCGGCCGTGAGTGCGGGGTTTGGCGACCAGGCGCAGCTGGGGATTGAAGCCTCGGATAAAGGGCGCGGGGCCCAGACCGCTTGAAAATGGCAACGTTCCAGGCCCTTGCTGGAAGCGTTGACGTTCGTGTGTGTGTGTGTGTTTTTACTTTCTCCGTAGGTGAAGGCGGGTTGAGGGCGTGTTTAGACAGGAGTTTGGGATTTTGTTTGGGTGTGTTTAAGGTCGGGCTGTTGTTTCAGGGCTGACTTTAGGGTTGCAGGGTGGCTTGCAGGGTGGATAGGGTGCGGAGCAGCAGGTAGGAGGATATCACAAAAAAGACAAAGAAGCTGAAACGGCGAGGCGGACGAAGGAAACTAGAAAATGACATCAACCTCAAAGCATGGTCCTCCTGTCCTCAGCCATCAACATCACTTCTTTCACTTCATGCCGCTGGCAAACCACGACTTGTCGCAGTGGACCCATTTTGGGTGTGGGACTTGCGGACTTTCAGCCCAGGAAAGAGTCTGTGAAGGTCGCGTGGACCAAAGGCGCGGGGTGCGTGGACCTCGGGGGTTGCTCGGGGTGTTGGCATCTCGGGTGCGCCTCGCAGGCCCGGGCCTGCACCGCGTGCCGCTGAACTGCTGGGCCCTTGAGGGGTGCGTGCCGGCGCCATGCGTGGGTGAGTGTGGTGGGTGGATTGCTCGGCGCCCTTGCGTTGGCGAATCTTCCCAATGCAATCCAGGAGTCATTGGTCTCGGAGAGAAATAGATATGATGATATGAATGTTTGTTGTGCTTGGATGGGACCTTCTGAATGACGAGGACATCCTTCTAGCTGCTGTAAGTAAGCTGGTCCTTGAACATGGCTTCCCGAATGTGTCCCCTGGACTTGACCAATACCTGCTGCAGGAAAATAAGCGTTTTGACCATTTGGCTAGGGGATGCTGACCTCGGCAACCCAGGCAACCACGTGCTCATCGATTGTACACCTATGGACTTCTACAATGAGGAACCTCAGCCGGGACCCTGGACACAGCACGAACGGCCGGCCATTTGTTTTGCTCCGCCAATCCCTTGTCAACAGTGCACACGGCAAAGCTTGCGGTTAGCTTGCCCTAGCAGCGACATGCGGCATGAAACCTGCAGACGCGTTTGAACGAGTGTTGTGATCTTTGAAGTTCTTGCGGGCGCCGCTTCGAGCCCCGAAAAGCGTGAAACACATAGATACAATTTTTTTGTGGTCCGAAGTTCGTTATTTTCGTGCGTTTCTACACCTGAAGACACTTCGAGCTCCGAAACAAGAGAAACATCGTAAATTGGGACAGCAGCAGTGACTTCGAGCCGTCCTCTGTAGTGGCTACATCTAGCCTCTGTCAGCCAGCGGCGGCAGAGACAGTTGGGGGATGGAGACATTGCCTCTGTTGTTCCTGTTGCTCTCCTCCGCTACTGCCGCCCCCTTGGGTTCGACCTGGCTGCGACATGATTCAATGAGGACAATGAGGACACGCCGCAACCACGCAAAAAGGAACAACATAACAATCATAAATTTAACAAGAAGAAGACGAAGAAGGAAAACAACAGCAAGTTTTGCCGGAGGTGGTTTGTTGGTCGGACACATGACACTCGGGGTTTCCGGTGGACAGCTGTTTTGCACAAGCGTGTAAACTTTATGGCTTCCGGCTCACTCCGCCGACATTGGCCTCTCCCTTTTCTCCTTCTTCCTCTCTCTCTCTCTCTCCTCCCCATCCTCTCTCTATCCTCCCTCCCTCCGAGGGAGGATAGAGAGAGAGAGAGAGAGAGAGATAGAGGGGGAGAGAGAGAGAGAGAGCGAGAGAGAGAGCGAGAGAGAGGTCTCTCTCTCTCTCTCGCTCTCTCTCTCTCTCTATCCTCCCTCCCTCCCTCTCCCTCCCTCCCTCTCTCTCGCTCTCTCTCTCTCTCTCTCTCTCTCTCTCGCTCTCTCTCTCTCTCTCGCTCTCTGTCTCTCTCTCTCTCTCTCTCTCTCTCTCTCTCTCTCCCTCTCTCTCTCTCTCTGCTCGCTCTCTCTCTCTCTCTCTATCCTCCCTCCCTCCCTCTCCCTCCCTCCCTCTCTCTCGCTCTCTCTCTCTCTCTCTCTCTCTCTCTCTCTCTCTCTCTCTCTCTCTCTCTCTCTCTCTGCTCGCTCTCTCTCTCTCTCTCTCTCCTCCCATCCTCTCTCTATCCTCCCTCCCTCCCTCCCTCTCTCTCTCCTCTCTCTCTCTCTCTCGCTCTCTCTCTCTCTCTCTCTCTCTCTCTCTCTCTCTCTCCCTCTCTCTCTCTCTCTCTCTCTCTGCTTGCTCTCTCTCTCTCTCTCTCTCGCTCTCTCTCTCTCTCCTCCCCATCCTCTCTCTATCCTCCCTCCCTCCCTCTCCCTCCTCCCTCTCTCTCGCTCTCTCTCTCTCTCTACCTCCTCTCCCTGCCTCTCTCTCCCCCCCCTCCTCCCCCCCCTCCTCTCTCTTCCCCTCTCTCTCCCCCTGTCTCTCACTCTCTCTCCCTCTGGGATTAGTAAAGGGGGGACCCCCCCCAACAATGGGGGGCACCTGGAAAAGTATCTTGAGATCGGGTCCGGTTCAAGTGAGTTTTGATGTATTGGTAGACTTGAGCTTCCATTTGATTTAGAATTGCTAGAGCTTCCTTTTGAGATTTGGAACTGAGTTTCCAGTACTACCCTGTTGTGGGATTGATTGTGGGCAGGCTTTAAACAAGAGACATGTAAGAAAACATGACTTTTGGGGAAGCTGGACATGTTGAATTTGGGGAGCTGAAGAACAAGGTGCCAAAGATCCAAGGACAATGTGTTGGGTGGGCTATTTCTCCTCTCCTTGCTCTCATTCTTTCTTCGGTTTGTATATTTGTTGGGGAAAAGTTTGGGCGCGGGCGGCGGGTGCTCCAGGTGCATTTACTTGTTTTTTTGGGCCACCCGTTTGTCTTTATTCCGGGTGCATTTTTAAATCCTAGGTGGACATGATTAATGTGGCCTCAGAGGGAATGGGTGGAGCATCACAAACATTGAGGTGCCAGGATGTGTCTTCAGAACGTGGCATGAGCGGCCAGAGCAAGAGTCCTACGCCTTCTGCTGGTTCCATATATATATATACACATACATACGCATTGGTATAGAGCTGCGTGTCTTGTTGCAGAGGTAAGCCAGAGCAGGCACGCACTTTTTGTACCGTGGAGAAACCTGAGAAAGTCAAAGACATTCTTGAGCAGCCAGTGCTTCGGCTCTTTTGACATTGCATTTTATCGTCTTGTTTTGCCGTCCATTCCCCCCCCCTCCCCGGAACCTACTTGCCTTTAAAGTGGCTGACAAGCCCACATCCCACACTCGCTCTTGGCTGATACATGCTGGCACAGACATTAGGACATTAGGCAGGTCCCCTACATACCAAGCTTGCAAGGCTACAGAGTTATCATTCTATCTCTTTCGTTCATGCATTGACTACGATCGACAATGACCGTTGCCCCGACTGCTGAATTGTGCTTTGTTGGCCACAGCTCTTTCTTTCAAAGTCAAGGCTGCAAACCGTCTCTATTTTTCTTGAATCTTTCCCTCATGTCAAACCGGCTTGGAATCAAGAACTGCATGACCTCCTTGCACTGAGGCAGAAACTTCAAGTTGCCATGGAAAGCAAGATCAGCGCGTTGGCCGGGCAGAGGGTGAATTGTGCAGCAGTAAAAAACGGCTTATTTGCAACAAATGGCGATCTCTGCAAGAAACAGATGTTGCTGGGTGTTTTCCTGCGACATCATGCAGCCTCATTCGGACGTTGCACGAAATGTTCGGCAAAGTTGCTTTTGCACTGTGAGTTTAGGCTTGGGGTTATGCAGCCCGAGCTGCCGGCAAGTTCTTGCATTCGAGGCATGCGCACGTGTGAGGGCTGCAACTGGCAGGTGTGGCACATGCAGAAGGGTGTCCTACGGGAAGAGGGAGACAACAGGGCTCCCGTCTCAGCTTTCAGCAACATGCCTCTTTGCCGGCTCCGGTCGGGTTTCGTCGGAGCCGGAAGACATCTTGTTTTCACACCGAACCGGCGAACCCAACAATTGGTTTGTCACGCCAATTTTTAGCAAGCGGAGTCCTTGGTTAGCCAGTCCAAGTGTGTTACATGGTTTAGTGACCCTCATTGCCTTTCAGCACCCATTGCGACGGGTGATGGTAGCGCATACTGCTTCAAAGCATTTGGCCTTAGCAACAGATCTGCATCACAACGGACTACCACGGCTGAGCCCTTTTTCTCCAGCACGTCTTGCAGCTAATTCAAGTACTCATTTCATGTAGACGGGACTACCATTGAGAGATGGCTCAATGGTGCCTTCTACAGCAGCTCAACATTTTTTGTTTTTCCCCGATGGCATGAGGTCTCCAGGTCTTGGAAAACAGAACCTGGACGGAAGACAGAAGTGAAGGCATTTCATTCCAAACAGATGAACCACTCTTCGGGGGTTAGGTCGTCATCTTCTGCAACACCATCAACAATTGCCAGCTGGTCTATGACGCGCTTCTTGGAGCCATCAGATGTCTGCAGAGCTTTTTGGGGAACGCGGCGTGCCAGGAGATCTAAAGCAAGGGTTCATAGCACATAGGAGGAAGGTAGACCTTTGTATAGCGGTTGCTCCTCCCAGTCAGTGAGTGTTATTGACAAAGATACAAGAAGTATAAACAAGGAACTTCATTGAGATATAGTTCAACGTCACTGACTCCCAACGAGATCTGTTTGGTCGGAGTGTTCTTAAATTGGAAAAGAGCAGCACATGCACAAAGCTATCTATTTTGCTGTTAGGGTACGCCACGTAGCCTGTGCGACTTGATATTTATTTGTTCTTCTTTCTTGTCTCTATTCAGGCAGCTCGCACGATCTATTCAATGACAGACTTTGTCAACAACAGGTCCGTTATACTTCTGTCTCCAAGTCTTTTTGGTTTAGATGATTCACATGCGTTTCATCATCTAATTCCACACTTAATTTAGCGGATCGTGTTTAAGAGGAAGTGATGCTCTATGACATCAATCCATTTCAGGATCAATTCCCCAATGTTGATTTGTTGTGCGCTATGGTCCCCGTGCGATTCTTTTCGTTATCACAACACATTCTTTGGCCCTTCTTTACTTGGTTCGGCTAGGGCTTTTAGATGAAGAAACCTTCTACTGCTAATAACTGCTGCCGCTACTACTAGTAGTAGTAGTAGTAGTAGTAGTAGTAGTAGTAGTAGTAGTAGTAGTAGTAGTAGTAGTAGTAGTAGTAGTAGTAGTAGTAGTAGTAGTAGTAGTACTGGTAGTAGTAGTAGTAGTAGTAGTGGTGGTGGTGGTGGTGGTAGTAGTAGTAGTGGTGGTGGTGGTGGTAGTAGTAGTAGTGGTGGTGCTGGTAGTAGTAGCAGGAGCAGGAGGAGGGGTACGACTGCTACTTCTACTACTACTACTACTACTGCCACTACTGCTACTGCTGCTACTACTACTACTATCCCTACTACCCCTACTCCCCCCCCCTCCTCCTCCTCCTCCCACTACTACTGCTACTGCTACTGCTACTGCTACTGTTACTGCTACTGCTACTGCTACTGCTACTGCTACTGCTACTGCTGCTGCTGCTACTGCTACTGCTACTGCTACTGCTACTGCTACTGCTGCTGCTACTGCTACTGCTACTGCTGCTGCTGCTACTGCTACTGCTACTGCTCTGCTACTGCTACTAAAGCACTACTATGGAGTACCATTGTGCATCCTTGACAACTTTCGCTTGTTGCAGCACTAGTCATGCATTGCCATCGGCCGGTATGGTGCTTTTCTTGGTTAGTTGTTGTCAAGGACTCTAGTAAAGGCTTGGTACTATTGCATCGTGCTTGCTTTGCAGTGTTTGAGTCGCATGGGCGTTGGTGGGTATGTATGCTTTGTATTGATCAGTGATACGGCTCATTTTGAACGCATTTTTCTTTGTTTACCTTAGTAGGTAGTTCACGCATTCCCGACACCTACTGTCGATAGTGGTTTGAGTATGCTTGTTCTACTTTTTCGAGTTGCTTTTGAGATGGTTAATTGAACATGAGATGGCGGACTTGTGGTTCTGTTGGACGGCAAAGGTGGCGGCAAGGGGTTGGCCACTCAACTTTGCAGTTCTTCCGCAAGCGCAGGGATTGGAATCCGATCTTGCCGTACCACTCATAATCCACACAATCGAATGTCACATGGGCATTGAGGAACAACAAATACATAGCAAGAGCTGGGTCTCTCGGATGTGACCTTGCCAGCCGACACGGGGCAAACGGTATGCTGGAGGCTCGAGAAGGTGAACCCCGACGATCCTCGCAGCGGTGACAAGCAGTGGAAGGTGGCCGCATCGATTCCTCCCAACAGCCTGGCAAGTGTTCATGTCAAAGGCAAGCCTTGGATTCGCCCGACTAGAGTGAGAAACCTTTGCCTGGACCTCTACCCTCATTTGGACGAAGTGGCAGCTGCAAAAAAGGGCTTGTAGCCTGGTTTGGCCAAACATGTGTGACTCTGTGATATTCTCATTGCCTTGAAAGTACGGTTTTCGAAGCTTCCAGATACCCGACGGACCGGAGGTGAAGATGAGGGGCCAAATTTGCTTGAAATCCACAATTTGCAGGACGTCAGGTACCTTGCAATAGACAGCTTGCTGCGTTTTAGGTACTTCTGTTTTTTGGCGCTTGCCCGAGGGCCCATGCTGGGCTCGAGCCTTTGCTGGCATGCGCGTGCGCAATAGACGGTGTTTTTGGCGCCGCGCTCGTGAACAGCAAAGTGCACCGTAGATGCAGCCGAATGTGGCCGGATTTGCCAAGGCTTCAAGCCAACTTGTTCAAAGAAGGCTTTCAGCCTGATCTGCCCTAGGCACCCAATCCGAACTGGCAGTCTGAGCAGAGGATTCTCGTTTTGTCCATTTCCCTTTTGTGGCACGCCTTTGAACTTTTTGGGTGGATTCGTTGGGTGAGATGTGTGGTTTTCCAGTTCTTTGGCACTGTGCCGGGTGGTTTTGTAGCCGGCCCTGTTGCCAGCTCCTCCAGCTGCACGCGCTCCGGGACAAACAGGCCGGAGCTTGGCGGGGCCTTGAGCCACGAGGGGATGAGACGGTCTGATAGAATGAGCATGTACTTGCAGGACCTGTGCTTCGCGTGATAGAATTTGGAGCCGTGCAACAAAGTTGTGAATTACTGATGTCAGCAGTTTCACTGGGAGGCTGGGTTTTCTTGTTGTGTTGTTTTTGAGGAGTTCTCTTTTTGCGAATTCACAGAGTTGAGATCTGCAGTAGGCAAGTTGCCCTTTAGCTTAAGCATATTGGAGATTTGCCAATACTACTCAGTGAATGCTGGGGCTCTTGTTGCCCTCGGCCTTTCCTTTCCTCTTCTGGCACTGTTTCTGCTAATCTCAGCAAGAGTCCACTCGGCAGCTTTTGCAATTGGTGCCGGAGCTGCGGCGAGCACTCTTGAGGAATGGCCCCCCATTGTCACAATCACAGCTGCACTTCAGAACAGTTCAGGTTGAACTGCCATAACCTTTTGACAACCGCGCCACCAGGATGGGTTCAGGGACTGAATTCCAGAGCAATACGAAGTAAACCCAAGCCAATAAATAGCAAGGGTGCTCGACTCGTAGGAGTACAACTGGAACATGAACCTCTTCAGCTCTGAGAAGGCCGACTGGAGAGTCTCGGCTCGCCGCCCGAAAAGTTCAATTGCTCACGCTTGGAAAACGTTCTCTCAATGTTGGTTCAGCTTTTACGGAGGCCTAGCCCTCCTGATGCCAGCTTTGCAGCGACCGCTTTGAACTCAAATCTGGTTCCAACCGGTATTTGTTTCTGAACTCATCCCAGCGCAAGCCGAGGTCGGAAGGTCGTAGGACCCCCCGTACCCTTGCAAGTAGCGGACTGCCACCAAGGCGAAACATAAGATTCACGCACTGTAAGTGGTGGGATACAGGCAATAGAACGTGCACATATTTGGGCTGCTGGCTGGCTTGTGGCTTGATTGCTTCCTTGTCGACTGCTGCTGCTGCTGCTGCTGCTGCTGCTGCTGCTGCTGCTGCTGCTGCTTCTGCTGCTGCTGCTGCTGCTGCTGCTGCTGCTGCTGCTGCTGCTGCTTCTGCTGCTGCTGCTGCTGCTGCTGCTGCTGCTGCTGCTGCTGCTGCTGTGCTGCTTTGCTGTTGCTATTGCTGTTGATGTTGCTGCTGCTGCTGTTGCTGTTGCTGTTGCCGTTGCTGTTGCTGTTGCTGTTGCTGTTGCTGTTGCTGATGCTGATGCTGATGCTGCTGCTGTTGCTGTTGCTGTTGCTGTTGCTGCCAAAAGCTGCCAACTGGTAAGCACACCCGCGCAAGTGCACCCGCGTAGAACTGTATCGAAGCCCACCAGAACTAAGCCCACCAACTGGTAAGCGCACCCGTTCAAGTGCACCCGCTCAGAACTGTATCCAATCCACCAGAATTGTATCCAAGCCCACCAACTGGTAAGCACACCCGTTCAGGCGCACCCGCTCAGAACTGTATCCAAGCCCGCCAACTGGTAAGCGCACCCGTTCAAGTGCACCCGCTCAGAACTGTATCCAAGCCCACCAGAACTGTATCCAAGCCCACCAACTGAACTGTATCCAAGCCCACCAGAATTGTATCCAAGCCCACCAACTGGTAAGCACACCCGTTCAAGTGCACCCGCTCAGAGCTGTATCCAAGCCCACCAACTGGTAAGCACACCCGTTCAGGTGCACCCGCTGAGAACTGTATCCAAGCCCACCAACTGGTAAGCGCACCCGTTCAAGCGCACCCTCAGAACTGTATCCAAGCTCTGGTAAGCGCACCCGTTCAAGTGCATCCGCTCAGAACTGTATCCAAGCTGATAAGCACACCCGCTCAAGTGCACCCGCTTAGAACTGTATCCAAGCCCGCCAACTGGTAAGCGCACCCGTTCAAATGCACCCGCTCAGAACTGTATCCAAGCCCACTAACTGGTACGCAAACCCGTTCAAGTGCACCCGCTCAGAACTGTACCAACTGGTAAGCGTCCAAGCCCACCAGCTGGCAAGCGCACCCATTCAAGTGCACCCGCTCAGAACTGTATCCAAGCCCACCAACTGGTAAGCGCATCTGTTCAATCGCACCCGCTCGGAGCTGTACGTTCAAGTGCACCCGCTCAGAACTGTATCCAAGCCCACCAACTGGTAAGCACACCCGTTCAAGTGCACCCGCTTGCGCTATGTCCCCAAATGGGCCCTTGACCTCAAAGGTGGGGCCTGTATATATAGAGTCAACTATATTATGGATATTGTCTGCTACGCCAAGCCGTTGTAGAGCTATCTTGAGGGTGGTATGGTCGACTGAATCAAAGGCTTGCTTCCAATCCAAAACCAGTAGATGCAGCGGTTTACCCGTCATGTTGGCGTATTCCATTGCGCGGCGTAAAATGAAAAGCGGGTGTTTTGTTCCTGTCTTCGCGCGGAACCCAAACTGCGTTTGGCGTAAGTTGTGGTCCATTTGGTTGGCAAGTCTGTGCTGTACTATGGAGGTGAAGAGTTTGTACATGGTGTTTAAAAGGGCAATTGGACGATAGTTCGCGGGATCCGAATCGTCCCCCTTCCTTTGTAGATTGAAACTATGAGGGCGTGTTTCCATTCGTCAGGAATTGCGCAGGTGCGCTGCGTAATTTGCAGCAATTCCTGTTCTGAGTGGTCGTCCAACCAGAGCAACAATTCGTTGGGAAGTTCATCTGGGCCCGGAGCCTTTCTGGTTTTGAGGGAAGCTAGGGCGGACTGCAACTCTTCTAAGGAGACACTGTCCTGCGGCGGTATGGTCTGATTGAGGGCTGGTCGTGCGCGTAACTGTGCTATGTGGTGCTGAGTGGCACGGTGATGCCACTGCTTGTGTTGAAGGTGATGCCTGATGGCATCCTGCGTTTTGGTCCATGGTACTGGTTTACCATCTACCACCAGATGTTGCTTACGCCCTTGAAAGCCTTTCTTCTGGTTGCGCACGGTTTTCCACACTGTGGAGTGTTCTGCGCTAGGGTTCTCCAGCAGCTGTTTGTGCACCGGAGTTGAAATATGTGAGGGTGCTCTTTCAGCCAAAGGACACATCTTTGTGTGTGACTTGCTGAACACGATCTCGCGAGACCTGGTTGTTTTTTATGGATTGCTGATGATGTAAATTGCACACAGGGAGTTTGGTGCAGAGCTGTCAACAACAAAGTCAAACGGAGGCCATGCGTACTGCCTGTTCCTCAATGTGCTGTCACGAAGAGGTGTGGTCATCAGAAAAGGACACTCTTCTTTAATGAAGGCTTTCCCAAAGCAATAGGTGGTCTGGAGAAGGCTGCATTGATGCAATTTCCTTTGCGCTCTCCACATTCAGGAACACAAGGGGCATGAATATCAACCCTTTTTCCTTGCTGGCCAGCTACTGCATGGTGGCAGGGGAGATGATTCGGAAGCATGCTGCAAAAGAGGAGAAGAGGGTCAAATCAGTCCTGCGGCTACTCCTTCCCATGACGTCCCCCAATGCTCCTTCGATCACCAACTTGCTTTTTGGTGGTTCATCTACCCCAGAAGAGAAGCTCTCTTCTTTTGTCCAAAGTGCATCTCAGAAGGTGTCCATGCTTAGTTCTTTGCACAAGAGACATTACT